AAAAATTGTAACAATAACAATAAAAATATGAACGAAATCAATAAAACCAGCATTAAAGAATATCAATATCGCGTATTTCCGCCTCTACTTACGGCTTTACATCGACGCACAGAGTGGTATTTTTGCCAAAAACCTGGCCAAAATTATTTTTTTAATTTCTCTACATTATAAAGCGTCATAAAGTTGATTTATAAGTCATTTGCAAGGACATACTAGTGATAATTTAGCTACTAATTTTACATGAAAAACAAAATATTTATATAGGACAGGTACCTAGGTGTGAATAAAAAATAAAAAATTCTGAGTACGAAATTGTATTTGTCACAAATTATAATATTAAATTTAAAAAAATATATACAACTCCTAATCACTATCGTCCCTGAAATCCATACTTGGTTTTAAAAATTCCAATTAAATGTATCCTTTGTAAAGGACTGTTTTTTTCTCTTAATTTTGGGTTTAATGCTACTTAAGTAGGGGTCTGAGGTCAAAAATATTATTTTAAATCTTTTTACCAATTCAAAATCTACTTCTGGGATGGCAGCTGCTTCTTCTGGAATTTAAAAAATCTACGTGACGTATTAGCATCATTTGTGTTACCAAATCCGGCTTTTGGTATGTTCACCAGCAATCCCATTTTCTCGCGAATTTTTTGTAGGTTTTCTTTTGCAGTTTGGGTTTTTTTTCACTTTTCAATGTAACACGACTTCTATGTACTTTTGCTTTATTTTATATGACAGATGTATTATAATATAATAGGAATTCAAAAATTTTAATGTCTCTGGTTTCTCTGTGCTTACCTTTGTCAAGTCATTAAAGCTTTTTAATATTTTTTTCGCAAATATAGCAGCGCATTGTCGACGTAGAGTTAGTAACAGCATTTCACATTTTACCATCTACAATTGTTGGCAGTAATATGTGCTTTACATTTGTCGCTTGAAGATTATTGGCCTGATTTTCCACGTAATCCATTTCCTCATTAGTGATGTCTTTATTTTCTTTAACAAATCTCATCCTGATACCAAGGTAGCACAACGTGACGAAACCGTGACGAGGAAGGCAGGCAAGGGATCATGATTTCTTAGTCGTCTACGGATATTATCCCAAAAATGCTCAATGGGGTTGAGATCCGGACTATTTGCAGGCCAGTCTAAAGTTTCAACATCCACCTCATGTAAGTATTCTTGCACTATATGGGCGGTGTGAGGTCTTGCGTTATCCTGCATCAGTAAAAATTATTATCGATGTATACTATTCATGGTACCTCCATGAACAATGACGAGTTCTGTGCGAGCTGTCAAGGAAATTCCTCCCCAAACCGTTACAGAACCTCCATTAAATAGCGTGGTTTCACGAATGTTACACTGTGAAAATCTCTCTTTGGACGTCGGAGAACCCTTACTCGCCGATCAGAGCTGAATTAAGAAAACCTCGACTCGTGTAAATCCTCAATATTCCAGCTAACAAGTTGTCTGGAAAATTGCAGTCTTGCTCTACGATAATTTGCATTTAACTTCGGTCCTATTGCTGGAATTCTTACGGTGGACACACTTGTTTTAAAATTATGAGTACACAGAAAAAAATCTAACATAGTACCAAGAACAGCGCTGTCATTGAATGCATTAAAATTGAAGCAATCTAAATTGTTATTTACTCAATTAATTACTTTTTAATTAATGTCAAAGAATTTATTGCGTTAAATGTATACATAGTATACATACAATAGTAACGTTATTAAATAAATCAAATTAGTATTTAATGCAATAGGTAACATATATATAGAATATTCTACCATTCTAACAAATAAATATTAATATGAATATCAATAGATTTAGAAGCGATAACTTTTGTTGTTAATTTAAAATTATATATAAACCAAGTGCTAACTACCTATTGGTATTATAGGCAGGGCCGGATTTAGGCATGGGCCACATGGGCCCGGGCCCAGGGCGGCAAATTTTGAAGGCCAGTTACAATTTTGCTAAAAAATCAAGAGCGTTTTATGCAAAATTTTTGTTTTCACTCAGATTTATACACTAATTAAAACTATAAAAAGTTGGAAGAGAAGTTTTTTAATACATTAGATAATTTTATATCAGACTACACTATTATTCTGCGTAGTGCGTCACTGCGTAGAAGGGCGGCAGTCGATGTACACGAGGCGAGTGGGGCGCGACTCTAGCTTATTCGCTGAGTCATTCGTTATTCGGGGTAATGGTGCGTTGGGCCCATGGGCGGCAAATTTGTAAATCCGGCCCTGATTATAGGAACTGTTATTCAGGAATACGGATTGGTTTAATGGCTCACCCATTCATGCTATGCTAGCGTTTTTTCTGTGTAGCATTAAGTTGTACCTGTAGATTTCTTGCTGTTACAAATCGTTTTCTCAAAGCATGCAAATAAAAAAAACGATCATGTACGGCTGTTGTCATTCGATGCCTTCCCTGCCCATCACGTCTGTTATGATCGTTGGTTTCTTCAAAACGTCGAATAATACGGGATATTGAGGTATGATTAACTCGCAATCTCCAAGCTATGGCACGGTAGCTTAATCCTTGCTCGGCCAATGTAATAATTCTTACACATTCATCACGATTAAAATTTCTCACTTGGCGCTACATTACAATAACTGTACGCAGACAACTTAAATGGAAATGACAGTTTCTGACATTTGCAGACCATTATTTATTTTATGCACGATGACATTATAATATGACAATTATATCAAAAATTCTTTGACGTAAACGTCTTTTTATAGCCCGCGGGCGTTATTATGACCCAGCGGGCTATAATGAAACGTCAAAAATTAAAAACAACAATGTTACACCATTTGATATATTCGAAGTAAGTTTTTTCGTATAAAGATTTTGATTTTTCCGGCAGCAGGCCGCAATTATTCGCCTTTTCAGCTGCTTCCTCAATTTCATTCATCTTTAAACTTTAAAACTGACTGATGTCAGTTGACATTATAATATTACAAATATAACAAAAATTCTTTGACGTAAACGTCTTTAAAAACAATAATATATTAAAAATAATAATATATTAATCGTGCATAAAGTTTTGTATGCATTGCTGGCATAACTGGTTTTTATGGTCCTACGACGCTTTTCTAGCCCTCGCGCTAACGCGCTCGGGCTCGAAATAGCGCCTCGAACCATAAAAACCTTATTATGCCCTTAATACATAAATAACTATTATCTACTCCTACATTGACGAGCTGTAACTTTATGGCTTTTTATTGACGGGCTGAAGTTAACAACAGTGGCTTTTCGACATTTTACGTCACGGGCTGAAGTTAGCTTTATTATAAATTGGGAAAAAGTAAGGTTAAATTCGGGTGACAGTTGACAGATGTCAAAATTTTAACAAATTAAATTGGCTTTAAATTCTGTTTTGTGTTCGTCGTAGATAAAGTATAGTATGCAACTCGTTTATAAACTTCTCTAGACACTCGTTTTTATTAAACACTCGCTCGCAAGCTTCGCTCGTGCTTAATTAAACTCGTAACTAAAATGGCATTTATAAAACTTGATACATAATATACTATTCCATTACCTACCTATGTTAAGTTTTTTCATTAAACTGGTGTTATTTAACCGTATATCTCATTTAAAAAAAGAGATAGCGACGTAAATCAAAAAACAAAATGTTACAAAAATATGGGGCTATAGTTTAATTATATGAATCATATGCTGTTAAAGCTGGTACAACCCACAGGGCGTTTCAAATTTCCGGGAAAAAACTTATCACTCGTGCACCCTGTATTTACTCAAAATGTAAATTTGAAAAAATATTTTAATAAACGCATTATTACCAAAGAATAAATCTACAATTTAATGAAAAAATCACCAAATTCGGTTTGACGGTTCGCGAGAAAATCAACTTTTGATTTCGCCGTAGTAGTGCAGTTAACTTGATTTAACTGATAGAGCGTTAAAAATTTTGTGTAAAGTGCCCATAATAACATTCTCTTCTATTCTACTGTGAAAAACTGCTTCTATATCGCTTGTTAATCCATTTTCAAGGGATACATTTTAATTTACACAGAAAAATTTGAGATTTTAACGCCGGTAGATTTCCGAGAAATTCTAACGGGAATTCCAATAAATACAACTGTCACTTTTTGTACCCATAACATTTTCCGTGTACGAATTTTTAATACTTTATAATATTATTTTGAAATTATAGTAATAAAAAAAATCAATATTTTCTTAACATAATCATATTTTGAAGTTATTTTATTATTTTAAAGTATAAATAAATAATAAGTTTAATTAAAATATTAACGGGCAATGTTAATGGTAAAAATTACGTCAAAAATGTTTATTGGGATGGATACTTTATTTTCGTATAGATGTCGCTTTATACAAATATTTAATTTAAATCATTTTTTAGATAATATTATTATTATTAATAATACTTAAAGTAGAAAAAGTATATGATCCAACTCGTTTAATAAAAGACGCTTATAAACTTTTCCAGTCACTCATTTAATTAAGCACTCGCTCGTGCCTAAATTAAATTCGTGACTAAAATGGTGTTTATCAACCTTGATACATAATAAACTATTTTTAAGCGTACAATAATTTTTATTTTATAAGTTACCTATATAAAGAAAGTCTTAATACTAGGAGTAGATAATTTAATCTACTTGAAAAACAAAAATTTCGTTATTTAATTACATTGAAATATCGATTTTTTATGTCATTTTGAGATAGATAGAAATGTTTTGTTACATAAAAAAATAATGAGCATAAGCAGTGCACCTGCAAAACAACAGGTAAAATTGTTAAAATAGAAGTAATTGAGAAAAATAATAAATTAAAATATAATTGTTATATTTCTGTAGGATATCTACTTACTATATTAAATATCATACAAGGTTATATTCAATATTCTATAAGATAAGTATATAAAAGTAAGATTTGTTCCTTTTGTAATTAAAACAAAAAATTCCATTTAACAATCCGTTTTTAAAGCATATTTATTTGATTCAGGCCTCAACCAAAGAAGGATATCTCCTGAAGCAGACGTGGTCCTTTCAGAGATGGAGAAGGAGGTATTTCAAACTAAAAGGAAGAAGATTGTATTATGCCAAAGATACCAAGGTAAGTAATTAATATTTATAAAATTTAAATACCAGATATTCCCAGAGAGCCATATCAGGTTAAAACTTGGCCAAGAATTGCCCTTTCACCTTTGGAAAAGTATTTGCCAATAAATGTACAATATATTCCTATGATTTTTGTGCAATCGCGATGACCAACAATAAATGATCAAATTGTGCCCAATAATATGCAAAAGCAGTTTGGATTAAGTTAGGTGGGTTACCGTGGGTTTAATTTTAGGAATGTTTGGGCATGGAAAAACGATGAGAAATTTTTTATGTTCATTTGGGCAAATATTGAAAAATTGACCAATGACATGATATTGGTAAATATCTAAACAAATACAGAGTACCTATTAACAAAAATTATAATTATATATGAAAGAATATTACCTACTTAAAAAAGCTTTTTCTCGTTTAGTATTTGAAAACTGGGTAAATAAAACGCTTTATAAAGGGTGTATCAATAAGAGCGCAAGATTTGAATTTCGCCTCAGTTTGGCCACCATGATGTCACATGATTAATGACATGAAAGATTGATAGGAGACAGATGGGAGTTAGTAAATATGGAGCATTACACGATAGAACAATCCGTCCTGATTATTAAACACTATTATCAAAATGATGAAAGTTTGATTGCCACGATTCGTAAAGGGCGTCCAATATTTGTTCGAAATAATGTTTCTAATTCATCTACTGTAAAAAGAATAATCAAAAAATTCGAAAGCACTGCTTCGGTTAGTGATGTAAACACACACGACACGAGCTCGTAGAGGTCGTTCAGAACAAAATATCGCAGCAGTTCGCGAGAGTATGGCCGAGAGTCCAGAGACGTCGATTCGCCATCGTGCACAAGAATTGGGCATTACAAAAGCCACTCTTCAGCGAATTCTTACTATAGATTTACATCTTCATGCCTACAAAGTCCAATTGACTCAACAACTCCAGCCAAAAGACCATGAACAGCGAAGAGAGTTCACCAATCGGATCCTTAAGCAGCAAGAAGTAAATGCCGATTTTGCGAACAAAATCATTTTCAGTGATGAGGCCCATTTTCACCACTATTTAACACCCTTGGACTTTTGGCTGTGGGGTTATTTGAAGTCACAAGTTTATGCCAACAAGCCCGCCACCATCGAAGCAAAAAGCAAAAATTAGACGCTCTATCAACGAAATACCGCCGCATGTATTCAATAATGTTATTGCAAATTTTGCCAAAAGAATACGCAGGTGCCAGTTAAGCCGTGGTGGCCATTTACCAAATTTGTTCTTTTATACATAATTTCCAAATGCGTACTTTATAAATCAATAAATATTTCAATGCTTTAATACTTAAAACCATGTTTTATTAAACTTTAAAATCTTGCGCTCTTATTGATACACCCTTTATATATTATAATCAAATAAAGGCACAAAAAACAATTAAAATATTTTGTAATCTAATTTTTTAATTATAATAAAAAATTATTTAAAAAAAAAATTAAAAAAACAGTTAAAATTATAATTCAAAAATATTTTAAATAAAAAAAATTGTTTTTTATGAAGACAAGTTTATATTTTATTTTTCTAAAATAAGGCTTTTCTTTGATTTCTGGCTCGTTGCTTGGCGTTGTCCAAGGCCACGTCAAAGGACATCTGAAACTCTACAGCCCTACGTGGAGGAAATCTCTCGTGTTCATGTAAACTCTAGGAAAAATACGTGTTATAATATTATGATACAAATCGAATTACGATAAGGCTATTAAGAATTATGTTTTATTAAACATTAAGAACTTATTGTAAAATTATTTGTGATTGATATGTTATGAAGAACTTCTAAAAAAAAAGAAATCAATATTAAAATTTAATGTTTAAATTACAATTACCTTGCTCACTTCAGGCACTATATTTCTTTAAACCCAATAAATCGACTTTTTCCTTTGTGACATATAGGTAGAAAATTTATTTTTACATTGTCTTGCTTGTAGTAAAAGCCTTGTAAGCATAAACACTAGTTGCAACTTCATGCAACGAGTTGAAAATCTGTAACAATGATAAAAAATAAGTACATAATATAGAACTACCAATGTAAATTTATATTACTTCAAAATTAACGAGGGAATAACATTCTTCGAAAAGTAAGAAATTGTATAATAATTGAATTATTTATTAAAAACATAACCTTAATTATTTTATCAAAACGGTGTTTATCTAAAAATATTTGAGAAGTGCACCTACACAGAAAAAAAGAAATAGTTCATTTATCTATATTAATTGCGAATCGCGACAAAGGCGGTGTGGATCACGTGATGCACTGAAAGAAATATATGTTTGTTTTAGCAATGTATGTGGTAGTCCATATATGAAACATAAAATATATTTACCTTAACCATTTTTATATTTAGTTTTAACATATTATGTTAAAACTAAATATAATATATGTTCGTTTTAGCAATGTATGTGGTAGTCCATATATGAACCACATACATTGCTAAAACAAACATATATTTCTTTCAGTGTGTTCTTAAATCTCGCCTCTGTTGACTTACATGAAAAGTTTATAAGCTCAGGTAGTCCTTTGCTTTGGTGTGACACTACAAGTTGTTCGATACTAAAGAGACCTTAAATAGGTGGAAACAGCTGTCAATACTTGAAGTATTTTAAGTTGGTGGAACGCACTAAAAACATTATCTCTAGCGAGTTGAAGGTTCAATTTTCTGGAATAATACCACTGGTAATATACTAGTAATGCGTCAAGGAACTTCCTGTTTCCTTTTTTTTGTGTAGTATGATTTAATTTGATCAAAAACACATAATATTTAACTCTGAAAAGGAGTTCAATTTACACCAGGTAAAATTTATTATAAAACTGTGTGAAAGTTAAATTTACACTATTTTAGTATTTGAATTTACACTGGACCAACGAACCATATTTAACACCATTTTGGTTTGTATCGATATAGACCATGTATGGTGGTAATTTGGGGTTAAAATGGTCATGACATTTTGAACAGTGTATACACTATTATAATAACTTTCACACAAGCACTTTTTTACGCCTTTTTGTAGAGAACATAATAATTTACTTATTAAGACGCTATTGTGCATATATAGTAAACTGATTCTTTTTCCATGCTGATTAATTATTTGCCAAGTTTCGATCAACCTGCATTACAAACGCTCTGCCAATTTTCGACCAAACTTCATTACAAACGAAATTGGCCAAAAATAACTCTACTTAAGTCTTTATTTTCATGCAGTTTTTCTGCTATCGCTTTGGGAAATAATTGGCATAAAGTATGTCAATTTTTGGTCAAACTTAATGAAAATACAATTTATAAATTAGTCAACTTTTTTCCAACTAAGTTTGGTGTACGATATATCGTACACTAAACTTAGTTGGGAAAAAGTTGATTATTTCTTTCGCAAACCATGGTTTTCTGGGTTGATGTGTTAAATTCTTTGAATAAAAAACCTCACCGAATCTCGTTAATGTAATAAATTTATGAAGGAAGTCGCCATTTTAGTAATCCGATTATTAATCATTTTTTCTGAAAGCTGTCTAGATGACAGTTTGTGTTTGTTTATTTTCCTGTTTGAGCGTTCTTGGCATGGGCGGATTTAGGCATGGGCATTATGGGCTGCAGCCCAGGGCCCCGTCCGATCGAGGGCCCCCTACGTGATGCAAATATATTTTTTTAAATATAAATCAGACGGATTAAAAAATCAAATATTTAATAGTTGCATGAAGTTGAAATATTGAGTCTGTTAAAATTTCAGCTTTTAATAAAAAAAGAGTCCACCTATCGCGATTTTCTATTTGTCATTTAAATAGCATGAAAAAAAATTAACTTGGGATTTATATACCTTTTTAACGGATTAATGGGCTAAAATGAAAACAACATATTTTAAAAATATAATTTTATACACGCTCTACAAAGAGGTCTCTTATTATTTTATAATAAATCTACTTGTTAAAAAGTTATTATTGCATAAATTTATAGTAAATTTCAAGTTTTTCTCAATTTTCCGCTAAAACTATCAGACTTAACAAAAAGTTATATAAAAATTGTAATTGTAATATTATAATTTTAAAACTTAATTATTAGTTATACAGTTACTTATTTTACAAATTAATAATTCTGAATAAAATACTAATTAATTTCAAGAAAATATCAATTTTATTGCAAAAAATATTTGTATTTGTACTGGTTAAACCAGTTAATCATAATTAAAACATTTAAAAAAATAATGAAATTTTTTCGCATTTTTTAGAAAATAAAATGATCTACAAAAAATGTTTGATCATTGTCCACATTTTCTAACAATTCTGATGGTTTTACCGGGAAAGTAAGAAAAACTTAAAATTTTCTATGTATTTGTCTTAAATATCTTTTTAACGAGTAAATTTATCATAAAATAATAAGTAAACTTTATTTTAATTCTCTAAAAATGAGTTTGTTAAAATATCACCCATTAATATTATTGGTTGTTAATCGCGATTTTACTTTATTTTAATTCCCTAAAAAAAATTTTCTTTAAAATTGAATAGCCTTATAAGGCTATATAAGCTTATGAGGCTGTTAAAATATCACCCATTAATATTATTGGTTGGTAATCGCGATTTTAATTTATTATTATTTAATAAAAGTTATAATCATTTTAGTCAATTAACCCCTTAACGAGTTATATAATTTAAAAATAAAAAATATCTCATGTACCTACTTAATTTAAAAGTAAATTCCCGATTAGCAAACAATAATATTAGGGGTCATCCTCACTTATACGTGAGGCAATTTAGTTGATTTTTCGACTCCCCCCTCCCCTTGGTGAGATGTCTTGAGATTTTGCTCGACCCCCTCCCCCCTCCCTTAATCTAACGTGAGATTTTTTTAAATGCATGGTTTTAATGTAAATAAGTTAATCTGTGATTAATTCCATTGGATTTATTAAAAAAAATAATTGTTGTATTTGTTTACTTAATTTAACCCAGTTTTCTCGCAATTTTACAATGTTTCATT